TGATCCTACCAATCTAAGAGCATGGGAGATCTTTCCATTTTCTGGTATCTTTTTGATTTCTTTCTTTAAAGACACAAAGTTCTTGATATACAGGTCTTTCACTTCCTTGGTTAACATTATCCCCAGATATTTGATGCTGTTTTTGGCTATTGTAAAAGGAGCTGTTTCTCTGATTTCTTTCTCAGTCACTTCCTCATCTGTATATAATAGGGCCACTGATTTTTTTGAGTTTACCTTGTATCCTGCCACATTGTTGAAGGTGTTTATCAGTTCTAGGAGTAACCTTGCGAAGTTTTTTGGGTCACGTAAGTAAACTATCATATCATCTGCAAATAGAGAAAGTTTGACTTCTTCTTTTCCTATTTGTATCCCCTTTACCTCCTTTTGTTGTCTTATTGCTGTAGCTAGAACTTCAAGTACAATACTGAAGAGATAAGTAGAGACTGGACAGCCTTGTCTTGTTCCTGATTTTAGAGGAATTGCTTTGAGTTTCTCTCCATTTAGTTTCATGTTAGCTGTTGGTTTACTGTATATTGCTTTTATTATATTCAGGTACGTTCCTGTTATCCCTGATCTGTCTAGGACCTTTATCATGAAGGGGTGCTGGATTTTGTCAAAGGCTTTTTCAGCATCTAGTGAGATGATCATGTGGTTTTTCTTTCGCAGATTGTTAATATGGTGGATTACATTGATAGATTTTTTAATGTTGAACCATCCCTGCATTCCTGGAATGAAGCCTACTTGATCATGGTGGATGATTTTTCTGATGTGTTCTTGAATCCGGTTTGCGAGTATTTTATTGAGTATTTTTGCATCAATGTTCATGAGGGACATTGGTCTATAGATCTTTTTCTTAGTTGTGTCTTTGTGTGGCTTGGGTATCAAGGTAATTGTAGCCTCATAGAAAGAGTTTGGCAGTGAGACTCCTGCTCACTGAGCAATAGAAACACCAACATGACTCCACCAGAATCTAGGGATCCAACACCATCAAGACCCAAAAAGCACTACATAGACGAGGAAGTGGAGACAGACCTTAAAAATTATTTCATGAAGATGATAGAGACCCTCAAAGAAGAAACGAGTAAATCCCTTAAAGAAACAGAAAATAAACAAACAAAAAAATCCATGAAATGGGGCAAACCTATATCCAAGGAAAATAACTACATTCACAAAGACACAGGCAATATATAATCCCATTTTACAAAACAACATAAGAAAAAGGGAGGAGAAACTACACAAAATAACTTCACTAACAATAAATCAAACACAAACAGGGATCATCAATCAATGGTCATTAATATCCCTCAATGTCAATGGCCTCAACTTGCCTATAAAAAGACACAGACTAGCAAAATGGATACGAAGAAAGAACCCTTCCTTCTGCTGCATATAAGAAACACATCTCAACATCAAAGACAGACGTTATCTCAGAGTAAAGTGTTGGGAAAAGATCTTCCAATCAAACGGTCCCAAGAAACAAGCTGGTGTAGCAATCCTAATATCTAACAAATTAGAGTTCAAATTAAAATCAATCAAAAGAGATGAAGAAGGACACTTCATATTCATCAAAGGAAAAGTACATCAAGATGAAGTCTCAATTTTAAACATCTACGCCCCAAATACAAAGGCACCTACATTCGTGAAAGAAGCATTACTAAAGCTCAAAATGCCACTGAGTTTTTTGAGTTTATCTTGTATCCTGCCACTTTGGAGAAGGTGTTTATCAGCACTAGGAGTAACCTTGCAGAGTTTTTCGGGTCACTTATGTAAACGATCATATCATCTGCAAATAGTGAAAGTTTGACTTCTTCTTTTCCTATTTGTATCCACTTTATCTCCTTTTGTTGTCTTATTGCTGTAGCTAGAACTTCAAGTACAATATTGAAGAGATATGAAGAGAGTGGACAGCCTTGTCTTGTTCCTGATTTTAGAGGAATTGCTTTGAGTTTCTCTCCATTTAGTTTGATGTTAGCTGTTGGTTTACTGTATATTGCTTTTATTATATTCAGGTACGTTCCTGTTATCCCTGATCTCTCTAGGACCTTTATCATGAAGGGGTGCTGGATTTTGTCAAAGGATTTTTCAGCATCTAGTGAGATGATCATGTGGTTTTTCTTTCGCAGTTTGTTAATATGGTGGATTACATTGATAGATTTTCTAATGTTGAACCATCCCTGCATTCCTGGGATGAAGCCTACTTGATCATGGTAGATGATTTTTCTGATGTGTTCTTGAATCCGGTTCGCGAGTATTTTATTGAGTATTTTTGCATCGATGTTCATGAGGGAAATTGGTCTATAGTTCTCTTTCTTAGTTGTGTCTTTGTGTAGCTTGGGTATCAAGTAATTGTAGCCTCATAGAAAGAGTTTGGCAGTGAGCATCCTGCTTCTGTGGTGTGGAATACTTTGAGGAGTATTGGAGTTATCTCTTCTTTGAATTTGTGGTAGAATTTTGCACTGAAGCCATCTGGGCCTGAGCATTTTTTTTGTTTGGGAGACTGTTGATGACTGCTTCTATTTCATTAGGGGTTATAGGTCTGTTTAGATTGTTTATCTGCTCATGATTAATTTTGGCAAGTGATATCTATCCAGGAAATTGTCCATTTCCTTTAAATTTTCAAATTTTGTGGAGTACAGATTTTCAAAGTATGCCCTGGTGATTCTCTGGATTTCCTCAGAGTCCGTTGTTATGTCCCCTTTTTCATTTCTGGTTTTGTTAATTAGCATGCTCTCTCTCTGTCTTTTGGTTAGTTTGGGCAGAGGTTTGTCTATTATGTAGATTTTCTCGAACCAAGTCTTTGTTTCATTGATTCTTCTCAATGTTCTCCTGGTATCTACTTGATTAATTTTACCCCTCAATTTGATTATTTCCTGGAGTCTGCTCCTCCTGGGTGAGTTTGCTTCTTTTTGTTCTAGAACGTTCAGCTGTGCTATTAATTCTCTAGTATGACTGTTCTCCAGTTTCTTCATGTGGGCACTTAGTGCTATGAACTTTCCTCTTAGCACTGCTTTCAAAGTGTCCCATAGGTTTGTGTATGTTGTGTCTTCATACTCATTGAATTCCAGGAAGAATTTAATTTCATTTTTTTCTTTCTTCCTTTACCCAGAGATGGTGCAATTGAGCATTGTCCAATTTCCATGAGTTTGTGGGGTTTCTGCGAATTGTGTTATTGTTGAATTCTAGTTTTAAAGCATGGTGGTCTGAGAGGATACAGGGTGTTATTCCAATATTTTTGTATGTGTGGAGATTTTCTATGTTTCCTATTATGTGGTCAATTTTAGAAAAGGTTCCATGTGGCGCTGAGAAGAAGGTATATCCCTTTGTGTTTGGGTGGAATGTTCTATGGATGTCTGTTAAACCCAGTTTGGTCATAACTTCTATTAAGTCCTTTGTTTCTTTGTTAAGTTTCTCTCTGGCGGTCCTGTCTAGTGGTGAGTGCGGAGTGTTGAAGTCTCCCACTATTAGTGTGGGCAATTTTATGTGCAATTTGAGTTTTAGTAATGTTTCTTTCACAAATGTATGTGCCTTTGTATTTGGGGCATAGATGTTTAAAATTGAGACTTCATCTTGATGGACTTTTCCTTTGATGAATATGAAATGTCCTTCTTCATCTCTTTTGATTGATTTTAATTTGAAGTCTAGTTTGTTAGATATTAGGATTGCTACAGCTGCTTGTTTCTTGGGTCCGTTTGATTGGAAAATCTTTTCCCAACCCTTTACCCTAAGATACCATCTGTATTTGATATTGAGATGTGTTTCTTGTATGCAGCAGAAGGATGGGATCTGCCTTTGTATCCATTCTGCTAGTCTGTGTCTTTTTATAGGCAAGTTGAGGCCATTGACATTGAGGGATATCAATGACCATTGATTGATGATTCTTGTTTGTGCTTGATTTAATGGTGGTGAAGCTATTTTGTGTAGTTTCTCCTCCCTTTTTCTTTTGGTGTTATGTCAAGTGGGATTATATATTGCCTGTGTCTTTGTGAGTGTAGTTATAATCATTGGATCTAAGTTTTCCTTCTAGCACTTTCTGTAGAGCTGGATTCATGGACACATATTGTTTAAATCTGGCTTTGTCATGGAATATTTTGTTTTCTCCATCTATGGTAATTGAAAGCTTTGCTGGATATAGTAGTCTGGGCTGGCATCCTTGTTCCCTTAGCGTTTGTAGGACATCTGTCCAGGATCTTCTGGCTCTCATCGTTTTGATTGAGAAGTCAGGTGTAATTCGGATAGGTCTGCCTTTATATGTTACTGTAAGACCTCGGCATCAAAGCGCCGGGCACCGGACCGAATCCTCTGCCCAAGGACGGGGCCAGACCACTGGATGCAAATGCAAGAGGCAATTTATTGGGTACACAGGCGCCTGCGGATGCTACTGCAACTTGGGTGCAGAGCATACCGGGCTTGTAGGGAGTACACTATTTATGGAGTTTTAATGGTTACATAAGTATCAGCATAGCAACAGGTATTTCATTGGCTACTTAAGCATGGGCTGAGATCATCTGGGGGGGGCAGGGGTAGTTGCCAAGGACTAGGTTTCCTAGTATTGTCATATGAATGTTCCCAGCACGCTTCAGCAATTAGTATCCGGGTCTCATGATTGCTATAGTGATTAGAGACATCCTGTTTTGAGGGTGAGACACCTGTCTGGGTTTTTCCACTAGGCAATGGCTTGGCTTTGTTTTTCTTATTCCTAGGGGGGCTCTGGGTAGGGGTCTTTCATTCCCCCCTTTTTCTTGTGCATAGGTAGAATCTTTTACCTATTGTCCAGCCCTCTTTACTTAAGGTTTCCTTATGGTTCTGTCTGTTTGAGGGCATGGTTTTGTTGAGTTAAGATTAAGGCTTGAATTATTGTTAATCTATCTTTTATAAATTGAACTAGTTTGTTGAGACTGCAGGGCCCAAAGTTTAACATAAATATGAAAATAATTAGGGGGCCCATAAGAGTAGAGACTAATGTAGCGAACCAGAGGGATTTGTTAAACCAATCCTCATACCAGTATTGTTGAGATTCAGAATTCTTTCGACGGACAGTCAGCCTCTCCTTGAGTTTATCCAAAGTTTCAGTTACTACCCCAGTTTTGTCTGCGTAGAAACAACATTCTTCTTTGAGGGCAGCACATAAGCCTCCTTGTCTAAGAAATAGGAGGTCTAGTCCTCTCCTATTCTGTAGGACCAATTCAGATAATGAAACCAAAGAGTCCTTGAGGGCTCTAACTGATTTTTCTAAGGCCTGTAGATCCTCATTCATGGCTGCCTGGAGCTGTGTATTTTGATTGCTCCGAAGTAAGGCAGTGGTCCCGGTCCCTATACCAGCCGCTATTCCCCCCACTCCCAGGAGAAGAGCTAATGTTATTGAAACAGGTTCCCTTCTGAATCGATAACGATTCTCAAAGTATCCTAGCACAGTCTCTGAGGAGTGGTAGGTAATGTGGGGCCATAGCTGGACAAGTACACAATAATCAGCTGTGATGTTAAGAACCAATACTGAGACGCAAGGAGTTAGTCCTGTATTGCAGGCCCAATAAGTCCCGTTAGGGCTGGTCAGGTATGAGTTGCTGGGAGGTACTGAGACTGTATGGTTACATAGTTTTTGAGACGATCTGGGAACATTTCCAAGACATAGTCCTCGCCCAGTCACCTGGGGCAGAGTTAGTTTATGATTAAGTGTTTCGCTGCATCGGGAAGGGGGAGATGTATAGCTGATAAGGTCAGAGTCCAATGCCAAGCCCTCATAATAAGGGGGAGCCGCTGTCAAGCAGAGCCAACAATCCTCCACCTTATCAGGATGGGTTTCGTTTAACGCTTGGTGGGCTCCTCTGATTAAGTTCAATAGTCTACTGGCAGAACTGAACTTTGGTCTAGGGGGTAGAGTGGCATTACTATGCCCGGTAGCATGGGTAGGTAGGGTGGTGACAGATGGCAAGGGGTTTGGCTTGGGTCTAGGGAGGTTCTGGGATGGCCTATCCGGTTGGTCGAGTAGCACAGAGTTTGGCCCAATAGAGGCCATAGCTGTGGGAGAAATGGTTCTGGAGATTAGGAAGGTGGCTGCGGGATCCATTCCAGTATGATACAGCCGTAGCCCCCAGGCCTTGGGGGCATCCCATGCTGACCGTTTAGCAGCCTCAGTAAAAGTGGTAATTAGGGGGTTGCATCTTCCTCCAGGGGTGCTGCCCTGGAGTTTGGAACTTGAATCATGGCATGGTCCACAATCCTGCCCCCCACAAGTCCAGGGGCCATCTCCATTATACCCCGGGATAGTTCCTCGTTGGAGGGTGATTAAGTCCCAGGAAGAAGTGGGTTTCCAATAGGTGGTCCCGGTGGTCTCACATCCCCATTCAGCACAATACCCATCTCCCGATCCACCACATCTATGTTGGAGCTCTTTATCACGGTTATGTCCTGGGCAAACATGTATGTCAAGTTTGCGTGTGGATATGCGCTGGCCCGTGTGTTGACAGCCATAGCCGGGGAAGAGTGCTTGTTCTGAGTGATCCCATCGCTTACCCACTAGGTCGCGAAGATCTACATGCAAAGGGGGAAAGGTTGCATTTATAACACCCCACATCGTAGTGGAGCTAGCGACTGCCCCGGTGTCCTGATTGATAATCTTCCAAGTTATTTTATATATGGCATGGGGGCTCTCTAGTGTATCACCAGCTAGCAGTAATAAAATCAAGCATATTATTGGCGTATTAATCTTATCTTTAAAGGGTTTTGAGAGCGTTGGAGCCTCCATGACTCTGGATTTCTTTGGGCTGGCGTATCGGTGCAGTGTTCTGGTCGGGCGGCCTTGACGTGTGAGGCGTGGATCCAGGCAGCGATGCCGTCTACCTTCAAAGCAGTGGGGGTAGTCAGAAGTACAGTATAGGGTCCTTTCCAGCGAGGTTCTAGGTTCTTGATCTGGTGTCTCTGGACGCAGACGGTGTCACCGATTTTAAAGGGATGAGGTACAGAGAGAGATTCTATCCCTTTCTGGTAGGCCGCTGCTATTGGCGTCCAGACCTCCTGTTGCACCAATTGCAGGGCCTGCAGATGGGCCTGCATGGAAGGGGAAGTGGCAAAATCAGAAATATCAGTATCAAAGAAGGTGATGGCAGGGGGTGGAGCCCCATATAAAATTTCAAATGGGATCAAACCATGTGGGCCAGGTGTGTTTCTGGCCCGGTATAAGGCTAGAGGCAGGAGTTGTACCCAGTCTTTAGAGCCAGTTTCAAGTGATAATTTGGTTAAAACTTCCTTAATTGTTCTATTCATTCTTTCTACCTGTCCTGAACTTTGGGGTCTGTAAGCACAATGTAATTTCCAATCAATTCCCAAGAGCTTAGCCACCAACTGACTCACCTGGGAGACAAAGACAGGCTCGTTATCCGACCCTAATACCTGTGGCATCCCGTATCTGGGGAAGATTTCTTTCAGAAGCTTCTTGGTGACCATTTTCGCGGTTTCGTGTTTGGTGGGGAAGGCCTCCACCCATCCAGAGAAAGTATCTACAAAGACTAGTAGGTATCTGTAACCATACATCCCGGGCTTGATCTCCATAAAATCTACCTCCCAATGATTCCCAGGGCGATGACCTCGGAGGCGCTTTCCTTGACCAATTTTGGTATTCCCTGAATTGACCTGTGCACAAACCCTGCAATTTTCAGTTACTTGTTGCAGCAGCATGTCTCTCTGTGGCAGGTGTAAGCTCATGGTTCCCCGCTCTAATAGGGTTTTCATCTTTTGCTTGCTCAAATGGGTTAACTTATGAAGGCGCTCAATTAACTCTTTAGCTGCCTTTATGGGTATTACAGTCTTTCCTTGGTGGGTCCAGCAATTGCGGACTGAGTCATAGTCAGCTCCTAATCTCTGGACGAGGTCCAGGTCCTCGTCCGTATACTCCCAGACAGGGATTGATTTGCCAGTTGGCACGGCGACAGTTAACAGTTGAGGTCCCAGCACTGCCTGCTTAGCTGCCTCATCGGCTCGGCGATTTCCTATGGCCTCTGGGCTGTCCCCTTTTGATGCCCTGGACAGTGTATTATGCTCAATTTCTTTGGGAGAAATAATGCTTTTAAAAGGGCTAAAATTTCATTTTTATTCTTGATCTCTTTGCCTTCTGAAGTTAAAAGTCCTCTCCTCTTGTATATTTCCCCATGTATGTGGGCTGTAGCAAAGGCATACCGGCTATCAGTGTAAACATTGAGTTTCTTACCTGCTGCCATCTGGAGTGCTTGGGTTAGGACAATCAATTCCGCACGTTGAGCAGAGGTGCCAGCTGGAAGTGCGCTGGCCCAGATTACCTGGGTGGCATCCACTACTGCTGCCCCTGCCCGCCGCTCTCCATTCAGTAGATAGCTGCTGCCGTCTGTGTACCAAGTGAAGTCTGCATCCTTAAGCGGCTGATTGGTCAGATCAGGCCGAGTTCCGTGCGTTTCCGCAAGGATCTGTTGGCATTCGTGGGATGTGGGCCCTACTGGCAAGGGCAGCAGGGTCGCCGGGTTAAGGGTGACAGCTGGCCCAAACTGGATCCTGTCAGCATCCAGGAGCAGGGACTGGTAGTGGGTTAGTCGAGCGTTGGACAGCCAGCGGTAGGGAGGCTGGCGGACCAGAGACTCAATGGCATGTGGTGCCACGATAGTTAATGGCTGTCCCAAGGTTAATTTAGAGGCATCTTTGGTGAGAACAGCAATAGCAGCTACCATCCTTAGGCATGGAGGCCACCCTGCTGCAACTGGGTCCAGCTTTTTTGATAAGTATGCAATAGGGCGCCTCCAGGGTCTGAGTCTTTGTGTTAAAACTCCTTTAGTAAAGCTCTGCCTCTCATCCGCACAGAGTTCAAAGGGCTTAGTTATGTCAGGCAGGCCCAGGGCCGGGGAGGAAAGCAAAGCTTGTTTAATGTCATCAAAGGCCTGTTGGTGTTCCTCCGCCCAAACGAAGGGGGTGTCTGATTTAGTTAGCTTGTAAAGGGGTGCTGCCATTTCAGCGAACACCAGAATCCATAGCCGGCAAAACCCGGCTGTCCCCAGAAACTCCCGCAACTGGCGGGAGCTTTGGGGGGTTGGGATGCGGGATATGGTCTCCTTGCGTGCGGTGGTTAGCCATCTCTGACCGTTTTGAAGTTCATACCCCAAATAAGTGACTTTTTCCTGACAGATCTGGGCTTTCTTTGCGGAAGCCCAGTATCCCAACTGCCCCAGGGTCAATAGGAGGGCCTCGGTACCTGCATGACAGTTCTCCTCGTTGGTGGCAGCCAACAAAATATCATCCACATATTGGAGCAGGATCAATGACGGATGTCTGATGCAAAAATCTGCCAAGTCGTGGTGGAGGGCCTCATCGAAGAGGGTGGGGCTATTTTTGAACCCTTGGGGCAATCGGGTCCAGGTCAATTGCCCTGATACTCCTAATGTAGGGTCTTTCCATTCAAATGCAAATAAGGCCTGGCTTTGCGCACTGAGCCTTAAACAAAAAAATGCGTCCTTCAGGTCAAGGACAGTATACCATTGATGTGTCGGCGGCAAAGTGCTCAGCAGGTTGTAAGGATTAGGCACTGTGGGGTGGATGTCTTCCACCCTTTTATTGACCTCTCTGAGGTCTTGGACTGGGCAGTAATCCCCTGTTCCAGGTTTCTTGACAGGAAGGAGGGGAGTGTTCCAAGGGGAACGGCAGGGGGTTAATATCCCCTGGTCCAAGAGTCTTTTTATGTGTGGCTTTATCCCTTCATAGGCCTCCTTGGTCATGGGATACTGCTTTATGGAGACTGGGGTTGCTGTTGCTTTTAAGTTTATAACAAGGGGCGGTTGGCACCTTGCTAGCCCCATCCCCCCAGTCTCTGCCCAGGCCAAGGGATACCTTTTGATCCAGTACTCTAGATTTTCAGTTGGTTTGAGTGGTGGATCGAAAAGTCAGTACTCGTCCTCCAATTGTAGGGTGAGGACCTGGAGGGGGGTCCCGTTAGGGCCTGATATGGTGGCCCTTGATCCTTCGAAATGTATTTGGGCTCTTAGCTTGGTCAATAAGTCTCTCCCCAGGAGCGGATAGGGGCAATCAGGAACATGTAGAAAGGAGTGGGAGACTTTACCTGAGGCCAGGTGAACTTTCCTTTCCATGGTCCAGTGATACTGCTTTTCTCAGGTAGCCCCTTGTACCCAGGCAGTTCGGCTGCTCAGGGGTCCTTGGGTACTAGTGAGCACTGAGTGTTGAGCTCCAGTGTCCACTAGAAAGGTGATGGGTTGCTCCCCAACTTGTAAAGTTATCCGGGGCTCAGGGGGGAGCAGCTGGCCCTGACTTCCTCAGTCTTCACCGAGGGCTAGTAACTGGGCTTGTTGGTCAGGCCTTCTTTTTGGCCCCCTTGGTCGATTTGGGCAGTCTCTGGTCCAATGACCCTTTTCTTTGCAGTAGGCACATTGGTCTCGATCCACCTGGGGCCTCCTTCTATCTCCCTTCCTTTCCTGTCTCCCTGTGCCTGTGTTATTCTGTACTACGGTGGCCAAGAGTTTACTAAGTTCCCTATGGCGTTTTCGATCTTTTTCTTTTTCTCTATTCTCTAATTCCTTTTTTTGTCTTTCCTCTCTTTCCTCCTGTAATTTTCTAAGTCTTTCTTCCTTCTCTCCAGGAGTTTCTCTTTTGTTGAAAACCCTCTCTGCCTCTTTCAATAAATCAGGCAAGGTATAATCTTGCAGATTGTCTAGTCTCTGCAACTTATTGTGGATATCTGGCGCCGATTGCCATATGAAGGCCATCAGTACATTGCCCCTTTGTGCATCACTTTCAGGGTCGAAGGGGGTGTACACACGGTAGGCCTCTTTCAGACGCTCCAGAAAGGCAGTAGGAGTCTCCTCCATTCGTTGACTAACCTGTCTTACCTGAGCCAAATTGGTAGGTCGGCGTCCAGCGCCATGAAGACCCATTATTAATAACTGGCAGTAAAGACGTAGGTGTCTCCTACCTTCAGCCGTGTTGAAATCCCATTCAGGGCGAGTTAAGGGAAAAGCAGCATCGATTTCATTGGAGAGTTGAGTGGGTCGCCCATCATCGCCCGGGACGTTCTTCCTGGCCTCCAGGAACACTCTTTGTTTTTCTTCTGAAGTTAAGAGTGCCTGTAAAAGCTGCTGACAATCGTCCCATGTGGGCTGGTGGGTTATAAGGATCGATTCAATCAGGTTTGTGAGAACCATAGGATCCTTGGAAAAAGAGGGGTTGTGAGATCTCCAATTGTACAAGTCAGAGGCAGAAAAAGGCCAATACTGGTATTGGTTCCCTGGGCCCCCCGTTTGGCGCAAGGGGAAAGCTCTAGAGGTTCACCTTGACTGGGTGGGTTCCCTTTTCCCTCTCAGCCTCCCAGCTACTGGGGAGTCTGATTCCTCCTCGCCCAGTGTGGGGGTTGTGTTATCCGGTCTTTCTCCTTCCTCCTTATCCCAAGCAGCTCGGGCGGGAAGGGGTGGAGCTGGCTGATATGGTGGTGGCTCTTCTGTAAGCAAGTCTATGAGAACCGAGTCATCTGGGGGTAGTACAGGTTTAGACTTAGGGGGTTTAGAGGGGAGTTCTTCTCTAGAACAGGATAGAGGTGATGGTCTGGAGCTG